GATACTGTTTTGATGCACCATACCCAGACGGAATCAGCTGTAAAAATTTCTGTGACTTCTAAATAAGTAACAAATTTATCTCTAATAACAACTGTTTACAGTGTTTTTGGTTACTTTAACTTTATCAACCTGACAATTGCAGAAGGTTGCCAGCGATAATTAAATTGGACAATTGTCGTTGTCGATTGTCCTGATAATTGGATTAGTATTTCGGATGGCCACTGTATGATTGAGAAAAGTTACTGGTTTAAAAAATTACCGTGAACTGTCGGAACTTTAAATCCAGGTGAGCGCTTGCTAGGATCTGGGTAATCAATTGTAGTATTCATAAAATGTCTTGAAATTGTTAGCTGATAGTAAATATTGCTTTATTACGGCTTATCTTTTTGCTAGCTGCTACTGAATTTTGTCTGGAAGATTACTGACCAATATCGGATATCAGATTTTTTCTCTACTCTTTAAACAGTGGAAGAAGAAAGATATTGGAGAAAAACATTTTAGGAAACTTGATAAAACGAAAAAAAAAGGGAAAGAAGCGACTCTATCTTCGAGAAATATATATTAGGGGGTTGTAAAAAAAGATGCTGAATTTGTTATATTGATTTTTACTTGACTAAACTGTTTCACGTAATAATCTACAGACTAAAATATTAATCTGAGTAAGGAAAAAAAAAATTTCTTTGGACATTAGTCTTTGTCTGATTATATGAGTTGTTTGAAATCAAACGAATAAAACAACTAAAAAAAATTTATATTTTATTCATTGAAAAAAAAAATTTGGATGAAAAAAAAAAGAAAAGAAAATAGTGAATGAAACATTGTAATTAACAGATTGAGATCATATATTATACCACATAGGGTTTTCAGAACTGTCTTTATTCATATCGTTGCTTATTTTCTATCGTTTGCCTGAAATTCATTTAAAATTTAGATTTTTTTTGCTTGTCTATTTGTGAACATCAAAAAAAAAGATAATTTCTGTATCATTTCATTTTTAGATAATAATATTTATAGGCAGTGATTCAAATCCAGAAATACAGAATCTGTTTAGTATAGTTTTGATACATCTGAACAACAATCAAGAAGTGTTTGAAGCGTAACAGCAATATACTGATCAGTACACTGGTTTGCTTTGTTGTTCCTTAAATAAACTGATTTCCCTTTTTTTTTCATTGTCTCTCTATCCTTATTTTTTTCACATTATTCTAAAGTAAAATTATATTATAAATTATAATGGAACAGCAATAATCAAAAGCAAATGTTCTTACCTATTGAAACTGCGTTGATAATGTTTTACAACTGCTTACCATGTCACTGCCACCTTTGCTCTACAATTTTATTATTTTTCCTTTTAGGGCCAATTAAACATTTCTTTTTTAAAGATTCCCATTGCGCCTTTTATCTTTCATATTTCCGCTTAACGGAACGGTATTTATTTACGACTTTTTTAACTATTCGATAATAATAGTTTTGCATTGAGATGTATCAGTTGTTGAATCATTACCCAACTTCCGTATTTGAAAGGATGAACTAAAAAAGAACGAAATCAAATGTTTATTTTCCACTCACAGAGCAATTAATGTATTGAAGTAAAACTCGACAGCATACTGAGCAGCAAAAAAAAAAAAAAAAGTGGAAAAGTTATAAGTGCTGATGTGTGTGAGCGGAATAGTTAGGCAGATTAGTTGTAAGTTACTTCGGGAACTACAGTCAGGGTTGAATTTGTGAGAGGAATATTTTAAAACGTTAAGACATCAAAGCGATATGAATGCGACTTCCAGTTTTCCTTATAAAAATTAAAGTTTCAGAATTTGTGAAGATAAGTCGAGATTTTATTTTGGCACGTTTGGAAATTTATTATTACAGCTCTTATTGTATAGCGGTTCCAACATTCGAAGGTTCAAAATTTTTACCTTAGATTTTATGTCGAGATTTGGAATGAAGGGCTAAACATCGAATGTTTCAAAAAAGAGCCAGAAGAGTTTACTAGTCTTGTGAACGCTTAACAGAGGGAGAATACC